CATTTATACATTTAAATTATGTCTTCATATTTGGATGAGATGTTCCTGAAGAAAGTAAAGACATGAGCTCAAACTGAACAAAGAATGTAATCCCTCGTTTTATTTAAATGTCTCCCTTTAATCTCAATGAAGAAGGGGCCATGTTTTAATCATTCAATGAGACACATCAATCTGACACTTTTCTGTTGTGTTGTGGTTCAGGGTTTGCTTGGTTATGTTTTACTGTTTATGTGTTCCTTGTGTTTTATTCATTCTCTCATAATTGTTGTTCTTTGTCGAGTGTTTATCCAGACTCATGTTCGGGTATTTGTAGATTTCTTTACTTCCTGTATTATTCTTTAATGTTCTCTCTGTCTGTCTAATGTGCCCCACCTTTGGTATATTATCCTGTTTCCATCAAGGCATTTCAACTGATCGGGATCTGCTTTATTGAACACAAATATTAGCCCCATCCTTTGTTTTGCTTTAGCTGTCCCACGGGTATTGTAAACGAAGAGCAGTTTGTGGCAGAATGTGGCTTAAATGTCTGCAGCATGTTGCTCGCCAACTACAGCCACTGAGTGAAGTGGAGCTCTGGAGGAGCGAGCCAGGGCAGTGGCTTCTTAACAAATAAGACCCGCAGTTTCACCATATTCTGCTCTATAAGGAGCCGCTAATGGACCTAAGAGTTAATTTCTTTAATTAAATTGACTTTTTTGGGTATAAAAGGCGGATTTATATTAATTTGCTGCAGTCAGCTACCGAGTTGCTTTGTGAGACTAATTCATATTTACACAGAAACCAGAAAAAACATAAGATTGCTTGGAGAAATTTGAGCTATTGTTATAGATGATGTTTACACTTACTTATTGTAAGTAGATCAGTATCAAAAGATTTTAACATACTTTTTAGTGAATTTAACTTGTGTCCTGGGTTTTTGTCAACACTGTCAGACATTATTTTAAATTAAAAAATTCAGGAATAATTGAAGCCTGCTAAAACTGTGAGGACACCTTCTTCACTTCCTTGTTCTTTCTAATGCTATGAGACCACTCTAGCTCTGGTAAGTTTTTTAGATTCTATATATTTTATACCTACTTGTTGATACCTTGCATGTCACAACCATAGTGTGTCAACACCATAATCAATGTAATGCAAGATTTGTATTATATTTTCTGTTATAAATTCTTAAAGAGGTAGTATTCTGCTTTTTGGCTTTTCCCCTCTCCTTTATTGAGTTATAAACCTTTTTGTGCTGTAACAGGTTTGCAAAGTGAAAAAGCCCAAAGTGAGTTCCCATCTCCCACAGAAAACAGCTCGTTTGTAGTCCAGCTGCTTCCCTTTCATCCCTGTGACGTCACAGGTATATTGTTGGTATAGCTGGTAGGCTACTCAATAAAATTCTCAATTAGAAAAGTTAAGAAACATATGTTGAAAGGGCTCGACACTCACAGACACCCAGGTTCTTTAAAATCAGGGTTGGAGCAGAGCAGAAACAAACCACACAGGCTAAAATATTTTTAACAATTTATTACCACAATTAAAATAATGTTTGTAAGGTTAAAAAGTAACTAAAATCAATGCGATGCCACAGGTTAAAAAGAGAGCTTATATAAGAGGGATATATTCCATAATTCATCAGCTCTTGGCAACAGCAAACAGTTACTCGGCCGATTCCTCTGTCCCACGGCCCAGCAGCTCCACGGGTTCCTCTGTCTGCTCCGCAGTCCTCACTGCTTGTCCTACAACAAAGGAAGCACTGGCGAGTAGTGTGATCTCGTCAAACAACCCATATCCTATTCTCCACGAGCCCGACTCTGCAGCCCTCCTGCTCGACGGCCGATGACTGGCTGACTTCCTTGATTCTCTCTGAGGGTCACAGATGAGGTGTTCCTAACAAATGAATGTCACTGAAATACTATCTGTATCATCAGAAAGCATTTACTGTGGGAATCCGAGGTTATCTCAACATGCAGAGTTACAACAGGTATTAAAGGGCCTCCTTACGTAACGTTTTTTTCACGCAGAGTTTGGGCGTGTCACTTCTATAACATTACATGAGTGTCTTTAAAGCTAATATTATGCCTATGCCTGGATAAATAGTGAAAGTGTGGAACGTAAAGCTTTTATTTAAACTGATTTTGAATTTAGACTGACGTTAAATACAATGAAATACAAATGTCTCTCTTCAGTTTAACTGAATTTGTACTTTCTTTCTAATCTTAAATGATATCTGTATAGTCGTTGGCGCTGCTACAGGATTCATCAGGCTGTGGTCACCACAAACGAGCAGTAACTTCTGTGCGTTTGATTCTGAGCGGCAGATAGTGACCTTTCAAAATAAAGTGTTGACTTTTCAACAGAAATTCTTAACAGCAATTTTGTTTTGCATTTTACTAAACATCCTGCAAATATGCGAACATGAGGTTATTATGTTCAGGCTTGTTTTTGAATCTAAAAAAGTATTGTGGTATCCTAATAATGAGCGTGTTAAAAAAGACTCACTGGTTCAATGGTTCAAAATGTAAAGCACTGTTCTATAGTCAGTCTCTCTGCTGTACCACATTTCACTAGCAACGACCACACAATCAACAAGTACGATTAAATGATTTATCGATGATTGAATCAGAAAGCTGCACGAGGCATGCAGTAGCTGAATAGACAATCAAAAGCATTGTGGGGAAGCTACGATAGGGAAATCCGCCGTAGAACCCGGGAACAACGTACCCCCTCATAACCCTATGGGAAGGTAGAAGGAGATCACGAGGCAGACAAAGAAAGGAGGGGGAGTAATGCAGAATACGAGAGCAAGAAGAGGAGCTGTGGATATTTATGGAAATGCTGGCGATGACGTGGTTAATGTGTGGTCCCGCTCCTGAAACGCTAATTAGCGCCACATCATCAGATACTCAGAGGTGGAAAGTAACAAGAACAACAACACAAGTACCTTACGTAATGTTTGATGGAATTTGTACTTGGATAGCACAGAGACAGCACTGGTGAAAATTACTAATGACCTTCTTATTGCATCAGACAAAGGACTTGTCTCTGTACTGGTTTTATTAGATCTTAGTGCTGCATTTGATACCATTGACTATCAGATCCTATTGCAGAGACTGGAACATTTCATTGGCATTAGAGGAACCGCTCTAAGCTGGTTTAAGTCCTATTTATCAGATCGATTTCAGTTTGTACATGTTAACGATGAGTCCTCCATGCACGCCAAAGTTCCTCATGGAGTTCCTCAAGGATCTGTCCTTGGACCAATCCTCTTCACTTTATATATGCTTCCTTTAGGCAATATTATCAGGAAATATTCCATAAGCTTTCATTGTTATGCAGATGATACTCAGTTATATCTATCGATCAAACCAGATGAAACTCATCAGTTAGCTAAAGGATGTTAAAACCTGGATGACCTGTAATTTTCTAATGTTAAACTCAGATAAAACTGAAGTTATTGTTCTGGGGCCTAAGCACCTCCGTGACGCATTATCTAAAGATATAGTTTCCCTGGATGGCATCGCTCTGGCCTCCAGCACCACTGTGAGGAATCTTGGAGTTATCTTTGATCAGGACATGTCGTTTAAGTCTCACATTAAGCAAATTTCAAGGACCGCCTTTTTTCACCTACGTAATATTGTGAAAATCAGGAACATCCTGTCTAAAAATGATGCAGAAAAACTAGTCCATGCATTTGTTACTTCTAGGCTGGATTACTGCAATTCCTTATTATCAGGCTGCTCGAAAAAGTCCATTAAGACTCTTCAGCTGATCCAGAATGCTGCAGCACGTGTTCTGACAGGAACCAGGAAAAGAGATCACATTTCTCCTGTTTTAGCTTCTTTGCATTGGCTTCCAGTAAAATCCAGAACATAATTTAAAATCATTCTTCTTACCTACAAAGCTCTTAATGGTCAGGCACCATCTTATCTTAAAGAGCTCATAGTACCTTACTACCCCACCAGAGCACTGCGCTCCCAGAATGCAGGGTTACTTGTGGTTCCTAGAGTCTCCAAAAGTAGACTAGGAGCCAGAGCGTTCAGCTATCAAGCTCCTCTCCTGTGGAACCAGGTTCCAGTTTGGGTTCAGGAGGCAGACACCATCTCCACATTTAAGAGTAGGCTTAAGACTTTCCTCTTTGATAAAGCTTATAGTTAGGGCTGGCTCAGGTAGTCCTGAACCATCCCTTAGTTATGCTGCTATAGGCCTAGACTGCCGGGGGATTTCCCATGATGCACTGAGCTCCTCTCTCCTCTACTTTCTCTCCCTCATCCCATTATTGCATGTTACTAACACAACTTCTCCCCTTTCTGGTAGTCTTGTGCTTTCTCGTCCCTCTCCTCTCTCCTCCTATCACTTCCTGCAGGTTTTCTGGCTCTGGAGCTGTGGAGTCTGGATCTGTGGTTGCGGGTCACCTGCTGCCCCCGTGTTCCTGCTCGACACCCTCAACGACTATTGTTGCTAGTCCTATTGTTATTATTGTTATTATAATCATTAACATTGCGACTGTTATCATTAACACTACTATAAATATCTGTACCATTTTTCATTTAGTCTATAGCAACATCACCTTTACTGTCTGTACCTCTGTGTGTATATTGTGTAGGCTGCCTCCCTCCCCTCTCTCTCTCCTTACATCCCTCTCTTTTTCTCTCTGTTCCTCTCTGCTCTCTCTCTCTCTCTCTCTCTCTCTCTCTCTCCTTCACCCCAACCGGTCGAGGCAGATGGCCGCCCACCCTGAGCCATGGTTCTGCTCGAGGTTTCTGCCTCTTAAAGGAAGTTTTTCCTTGCCTCTGTCTCCTAGTGCTGCTCTTGGTGGGAACTGTTGGGCTTCTGTAAATATCATCACAGAGTTCGGTCTAGACCTGCTCTTTATGAAAAGCGCTGTGAGATAACTGTTATGCGCTATCTAAATAAATAGAATTAAAATTGAATTGAAATTTGATTCCTTCAAGTTAGAATATTTACTAATGAGAAGAAACCATAGATTTGCTGAATTGTTTTATTTCAGACTGTTTCTTCTTGTTTGTTTCTTCTCTTCTTCCATTTTTACTTCACCACCTGTTTCACTACCAGGGCTTTTATTTTGAAACGCAGTCAGAGCGGCGCAGACGCCAGCTTTTATTTTGAAGGCTACACCGTCTCTCCCAGCAAAGTGTGAAACCAGGCAGGTCTAATCTGGATCCAGGTTCCGGTCCTGGACCTCAGAAACAGTTCAGACACTTACTGACCCGGACGAGCCGCCGCTAAGCCCCGCCCACCTCCCCAGCAGCCGATCGTTCATTGGTCCGTGCAGATGACCCGTCCTCTCCGGATTGTGTGTCCAGCTGCGGGTTTTTGTCTCTGATCAGTGGACTGAGAGAAAGCGGTTTGCCTCGCGCCCCACGCAGCTCCTCCAGGTAAGACCGAGCAGAGGTCTGAAGCGGTCTGAGCAGGACTGCTCTGATCCCTCTGGCTGCATTTCACTTCTTACAGGCTGAAGGTTTGATGACCAGCACGCTGCTGATGTGAAAGAAGCAGCTGCTGTTTGGTTTTCACAGTAAAGTCAACCAGACATCAGGAGAACAGCTGCTGCTTCATCAACCTGCTCCTCACGTAGCCCAGAGGTTTAAAATGCTTCCCAGCTTTTTACCAGCCAGCCTGCAGAAAGTGGAAACAGGAGCTGTTGTGTTACTGTGGACAATTAAAGGTGCATTTATTTATATAACACCCAGAAACTTTAGAGCTGACACAATTTATTTCTGTCACATAGGCGGAGGGGGGGGGGCGGGGTTATGAAACTGCTGACAAGTAAAGTCAGAACAGAGTTACAGGCAGAGAGCCAGACAGACAGGTGAAGGTGTGTCTGAAGGGAAAAGCAAGGTGAGCAGATCAGTGCAGTTTGTGAGGAAACACGAAAATAAGGTGGAGAATTAAAAGAGAGAGAGATTAGAAATCAGATACTAGAAACAGGGTAATGGGTTCTTTCAAATATTTTCAAGTTCTAGTGACATCTAATGGTGAGGGTTGCGAATTAGAAGAATCCCCCCCCCCTCTCTAAGCGAGCGGAATAGGTACGGTGCCTGAGACAGGACAAAGATGTCATCTGTGAGATAGCAGAGTTTGCCAGTCAATAAATCAGGTTTCTTTAGATAGATTACTTAATTATCCAGTAAAAACACGTTTTTCTTCAAAACATTATTGTTACCTGTTCATTAATAAACAGCCACATGAAGAAATGAAGTGCTGCATGATGTCTCATACTCCTGTAATACAGAATTTTACATGTTGGGAGGGTTGGCTCATCTGGACTAACACACCAAAGTAAATGAAGAACATCTCAAACACCATCACATCTAGTGCATCAAGTATGACCGCTGACAGATACCAGGACAATGTGAGCTCACTGTTTCTGCACCACAGTCCATTATAAACCGCCGACCCACAGGCTGGAGAAACCAATCCAACTAATGGGTGGTGGTGGTGCATAGATAAGATCCTTGCCTTTGGTGTGGGAGACCTGGGTTCCAATTCCCACTGTGAGACCTCCACCATGTGTCCCTGAGCAAGACACTTAACCCCTCGTTGCTCCAGAGGCGTGCGACCTCTGATATATCCAGCAATTGTAAGTTGCTTTGGATAATAATGGATTTTTGCAGATTTTAAAGTTTGATAGTCCACAAGCTGTAGTACATTTAGTCCAGCAGGGTTCTCGTTACGGTCCATAAGGAGGGTCTGAGCTCTTATTGAGGCAGTAAAATCATGCATCTGTGGCGGTCACTAATTCATTTACCAACAACCATTATTTTTAATCATACGTATGGTCATTGAAATTATTTACATTAATATGATAAACAGGCTAAAATAAACATGTTTTCCAAATGCCGTAGTATATATTACTCTTCAAAGGGACATTATGAAGGAGAAGTGTGTTTGTGTGTGTTTTAAGAAGACTGGAAGAGAGGCCAAGTTACACTCTTAATCAACGACAATGTTTTTCTGTGAATGGATGTGGCTGTGTGGACGGATAAAATATAAAATAAATAAATAGCGTCTGTAAAAAAACAAAAGATACTGTTACTAGTTGAATAATTGAAGCAATATACCAGCCTGTTCTCATGCTCAGGCATCACATATACACGAGATTGGGGTGACTGGAAACGATAGTAGCGCTCCGGTCACTAACTAGCTAGCGATGTTTTCATTTAAGGAGTTGACAATTTACCCTAACCTTAACCATCACAGAGGTTAGAGCCTAAACCTAAGTCAGTAAATACATGCAATAGCGTTGTGTTGATCAGGTTAGATATACAGTCGGCTTTGTTGCTACACTGGCACGTTAAGTGCTAAGAAGACAGAATAGGCACAAATCAATATGCTATATTTAAGGAATTAGCCTGCTAGTTTTCACTCACAATGTTGACTAATTAATTAAATACAAATCAACGACAAAATCCCTCCCCCTGTAAGTGTCTACATGATTAAATTTTATAATGATTGAATGTGTTTCTTGTCAAATCACACGATTTTATTTTGTACATGCGTTTCCTGTCCTGACAGAGGAGCCTGCATCAGAAGCGGTCTGCAGTTGGACCTTCTTGGAATAAACACACACATCTCAGACATATAGTTAAACTAAATCCAAATAGATTTCAGTTACAATCTAATAGATGAAATCCTGATGGCAGTGATGCATACTGTAAACACACCCGCTGCTCTGTCTCACTCTCCCCCTGCCATGGCCTCCCTCATCCTCTCCCCCAGTAGAGTTTCCCTCTCTTTTCTGAACCTGGTATCTTCTGTTCTGTCCCTGCAGCTCTCGCTGTGCAGCCGTCTCTGTGAGCGTCTCCCTCTTATTGGCAGCAGCTGCAGCAGGTCAGTCACAGTGATTCAACCACATCAGTCAGCATCTTTACATCCTGTCACGGCCACATAACGAAGGTTTAATCAGCTGATATATCTCCTGAGTGTGTTTCAGTATCTCTAGTCTCAGATTACCTCCAGCAGCGGCAGCAGCAAGCTGATGATACATGAGGCAACTTTTTGATGGCAAGTCCGACTATGTTTTGAACAGACAGCGGCAGGGCGGGATGGGTGGCGGAGCAGTGGGGGGAGGGATTACAGTAGTAATCTTTACTCATTACCACTGAGGGCAATATTGCCCAGCACCGTTGCTCTAAAAGTTGCTCCGTGTATCATCAGCTTTAATGTTGGGCAACTTCAGACACTTCAGTTTCTAATCCCAGAGTTATTAAACAGGTGCAAAGAAAATAGTCTCTACGTTTTAAACTTTAAATGGTCTTTTCTCTTCTGTGTTTATTTTTCTGTGTCACAGCATTTGCTGCTGTATTGATACAGAAGCATCCGCATCTAGACGTGTATCAGCAACGAATACTTGACGATACGTTTCTGTATACGTGCCTTTTTTATACAGTGTTACACCTGCCCCTCCAAAGGTCTCTGCACAGCTGAGTGTTAACGGTGCGTCTGACAGATGTTCAGGAGCTGCAGACAAAATCAGGCAAATACCTTTTGATCAGAAGGTTTCTATTAATAATAATAATTCTACTAATTCTACTAATGCAAATGACACTGGGCCTCTGGCCGAGTTGGAAAACAGCCAGACTCTTTCAGCGGCTACAGAAATACTGTCACTTTCCATTAACAGCCTGTGGCGGTTTACGGGGGGAGCCAACAGGGGCCAGTGCCCCTGTAACACGGACCCCTTATGGCCCCACTCAAGTCTAAAAAAATCATAGTTAAATATTTTCCTTGCGACAATATGGCGCTGATGCGAAAGGCGGAACAAATGTATCTCAAGTAGTTGGATCCTTTAGGACGTTACACGACTGTCCGGTGCCAAGGTAGTTAACCCTGAGCGCGTGCTTTCAACGGTGAAGCCGGACTTTCGACTTCACAAAAGTAAATGAAAAATACATGTGGATTGTTTCATCTAATGGTTTAGTATTGATCAACAAATCTTTTGCAGTTTGTGTGTTTTTGAACTTAGTATTTTTCATCGCACTGAATTGAGAATGTCTAAACAAAATGAGCAGTTTCAGTTTCCCTCGTAAAGCAAACATTTATTTCACTAGAGTCTGACAACGTTATAACTGACCACGTAGTCGATCACTTAGTCATCAATGTTACTGTTTGGAAGCTGGGTCCAGACAGACTGTCACACAAATTTCTACGCCATCGATACTGTATCAACATCAATGTAATCAGTTTAACACTTTGCTCGCCTCAACGTTACATCTGCTTGACTCAAAATGTACAGTAAACTGAATGCAGTATTGTAGACAACATTTTGTCCTTGTAATCCATGTTTCCACTGCATGGATAGCCTTTGGATATTGCTGGAAATTGTCCCCTACTTAAAGAGTAAATTATTATCATAACAATCTAATAATGCATTGCATTTAAACAGCATTTTTCATACACAAAAAGCGACAACAGTACCCTACAGGTCCTACCAGGCTGAACATGCATGGTTATGAATAACGTTACGCGAGACTTGTTTGTTTTTTCTATTCCAGCCAGTGAGGTTAAGAAATGTTAAGTACTATAAAAACCATACTCATTGATGCTGTTATGAATACGGGATCAGTTAAACTGTCGGGAGGGACCTGCTTTGTTTTTTAGTATTTTTAAATATCATATATCCATAGCCTATAGATAGCTACAGCATCCTCTGGTCTAAGAAGCTGCAGTGTTTGCAGTTTGCCTGCTCGTTGACTCCTCATTATTGTCCCAGTAAAGTGGATTAATTTTTAAAAAGCACTGCTGAACAGGTTTCCTGTCACGGTGCGGTGGTTGAAAGTCATTGTAACGGAACGAGTAACGTGACTGTTTACTTTTAATACCCAGTAATAAGTAAAGTAATATTATTACTTTTTAAAGGAGTAATAAGTAAAAAGTAAGTCATTGCAATTTCTGAGTAATTTACCCAACACTGCAGCTAGATGTGACGTATAAACTGATGTGCCGCGAAGACAGAATGCTGCTTTCTACCCCCTGGTTGCGCGCGCTTCTCGGTGATGACGTTGCACAGAAACCCGTCTATACAATAATAACACAATAAAAATTAGACACAGGCTACACTATAGACAACACAAATATACACTATGAATAAAACAATTGACAAATAGTGCGAAGGATGCAGGAGTAAAATTATTATTACGTACATGTCGGAGGTGGATGTGATATACAGGTACACATACATGCGTACATGTACACAGTGCAAAGGATGCTGGAATAACTAAGTATTATGTGTAGGTGTGATGTACTTGAGGTAGGTGGATTTGGTATACAGTATATACAACATGACGATATGACATAGTATGAACAGCACTGAAATAGAGAATGGTGAATAAATAGATAATAAGTGGAAACCAGTAAACAGGTGCTGATTAGAGACAGAGTTACTGGGTTATTGCACAGGAATTGTTCCTGACACTGTGAGTCAGAAATCAGCTGTTCATCAGAGTGATGGCTTGTGGGAAGAAACTGTTCCTGAGTCTGTTGGTTTTGGCGTACAGTGCTCTGTAGCGCCTACCAGAGGGGAGGAGCTGGAACAGGTTGTGTCCGGGGTGAGATGGATCTGCAGTGATGTTTCCTGACTCTATAAATGATCTTTTCTGCAGTCCTGACTGTCCGTTGCAGTCTGCTCCTGTCCTTTTTGTTGGCAAATCCAAACCAGACAGTGATGGCGTTGCAGAGGACAGACTGCATGATGGCTGTGTAGAACTGGATCAGCAGCTCCTTAGGCAGGTTGAGCTTCCTGAGCTGACGCAGGAAGTCCATCCTCTGCTGGGCTTCTTGATGATGGTGTCAGTGTTGGGCTCCCACTTCAGGTCCTGGGATATAGTGGATCCCAGAAACCTGAAGGATTCCACAGCAGACACAGTTTAGTATGGTGATGGGGGGCAGAGTGGGGGGGCTCCTCCTGAAGTCCACGGTCATCTCCACAGTTTTGAGCGTTAAGCTCCAGGTTGTTCTGACAGCATCAGAGAGTCAGCTGATCAACCTCCCGTCTGTAGGCCGACTCGTCACCGTCCCGGATGAGGCCGAAGACCGTTGAGTCGTCAGCGACTTCAGGAGTTTGACAGATGGGTCTCCTGAGGTGCAGTCGTTGGTGTAGAGGGAGAAGAGCAGTGGGGAGAGCACACACCCCTGGGGGGCGCCAGTGCTGATAATCCAGGTGCTGGATGTGATGTTTCCCAGCCTCACCTGCTGACTCAGATTTTTTCTCCCTTGTTAAATAAATTGATTATAAGGACGCTTTTGCACATTCTCACAATAAAGCATGTGCTGCACTGTGTGCGCGTCCAGACGTTTGATTTGTATTAATAAACCTACGGACGCTTATTTTGATTTTTTGAAATCAGAGGTGTGTCAAGCAGCCCAGAGACTCTTCTGAATGTCCATCAGAACTTTACAAATTAAAAGCTCTCAGTAAACTCAACATGAAGCGTTGCTGCAAAAAACGTTCTCTCGCTTTTATTTTGGAGGCCGGATCACTTAAGAGGAAGAGATTCTGTAAGTAACTGTAGCTGTCATGAGTTCGGTTTTAGCACCAGCCGCTATCAGTTTATTTTTTATGTATTTTTTCTGCTATCAAAGCAATCTGGCCACGGGCCTGATATTATTGCTGGGGGGTCGGTTCTGCCTATTGCTGACCACTGATGTAAAGTAGAGTTCCTAAATGTAAAAAAAAAAAATAGAATAGAGTGGGAGATGGGGAATCAAAGGATTAAAATAAAATAAAATAAGCTAAGAGATCTGCCTGTTTTTTTTTTTCTAGATATCTCTACTATATATAATTTTTTAATATTTCCCTGTTGCTTGTATGTTTTATGTGAAGCATTTTGGTGTTGAAATGTGCTATACAAATAAACTTGCCTTGTCATTGTCCCTTTGTACCTGGAGAGAACTGTGAGGCCGAGACAGCCACACCCTCTGCCCCCCCGGCCTGTTACTGCGTCACACAGAAACCAGTCAAAGCTGTGGTGTTATTGAAGCAGGTGGAGCAGGTAAGAAGCACAGCAGTGTCTCGTTCTTTAAATTTGGGATGTTTTACTGTTGGATCCAGATTTATATGCAGATTCATCAACAGTCTGTCGATCAGTGCTGCTCCTCAGGTCACTGCTTTTGATTATTTTGCTGAAAGTAAAGTTAATTTTTAACCTTGCAGTCAGTCTGACTTTGATGGTATCATAGTTTGACCTCTGACCTCTTGTTCAGAACAGTGCTCACAGACTGCTGTTGAGTTTATCATGTGTTGCTTTTTATCTTTTTTGAGGACCTTTAGTTACAGTCAGCTGTTTATCTGAACACAGAGAAAGTGAAAGCTGAAAGGACACACTGAGCATGCTCACTGCTGCTCTGCCACACAGCTTCTGCAAACAGCTAAGGGCGGCCGGATCATTTTACCCACAGCAAGAAAACATCTCTTCATCCTGCAGAGAAGTCACCAAAGTGTTTAACTCATGCACTAAATCAAAGACTGAATCTAAATCTAGCAGTGAAACACAGTGAGATCAGGGCAGTTTCTGGGTTGAAATGTTGTGAAACAGGTTTTTGTGTATGTTTTCTCTGGTTTGGTGTGTGTGTCAGAGGTGTAACCCAACCAGCAGCGACATGTATAGAAACCCTGCCATATTAAAAAGGCGGAGTCTGCATACTACAACAGGTGTTAAAGACAGCACCCTTTCCATTTTGCTGCATTTCATCAGGATTAACACACCCCTGCTGACACTTCCTGCTCCTCTGTTTGCTGAGGGCGGATCCTTTCAGCTGTCAGTCACATATAGTTATGTGTTTAGATTGACTTACACCAAGTGTCCAACAGCTCTCTTAGTTTCGAGTTGTTTTAAAGATACTAGTTTATGTGCAGCTCATTTAAAACCCCTCTCTAGTGAGAGACTCTCACCAGAGATGCTCACAAGTCTTTGAGCTAGAGCCCAAGTCAAATCTCAAGTCTTTGAGCTAGAGTCCAAGTCAAGTCTCAAGTCTCTCGTGGTTATTACGAATGCTGTATCACCTGCTGCGTTCAATCCAGGTTGCTAATAAAACTGCATAGCTATAAGGAATTCTGTAACTGTAACCTGTTTTTCATTTACAGAGCACAACCATGTGATGTACAATGCAACTATTAACAGCTTATTAAATACTGTAAGTCAACACACTCCGCAGACTCTTAAACCAGTTTTATAAGTTATAACTAAATAAAACTGTAAGGCTACATGATCAACAATAAACCTGGAACCTCTTTCTAGCCAACGGTAATAATTAACGTGATGGCAGCCAGTGGGATGTAAAGGATTACAAGTTTGGCAGGTAAACAAACACTCATTCATCTTTTCATAATGAACAACAGTCGGAGTTAACCTCTGTAGGTCGTAGCTGAAGCAAGAAGCAAGCTAACGTTCGATGGTCAATGCTGAGCTAAACATGTTTACTCACCACAGGTTACTAACGTATTTGCGTTTAGAGTTTCTTTGTTTGGGTCTTGTTGTATGAAGTTTTAAAGCCAAAGTTTGGATGAACGGCCGAGCAGCTGCCGGTGTTTGTTGTCCTCTCTCACGTGTGGAAGCAGATACTACGTGTTACGTAGGAAGGTTGTAGGTACGGAGGGAGGGAATAACAGCACGCTCATCAGACGTTTTCTAAAAATAAACATTGTTCACGAGTCCCGCACCTCGAGTCCGAGTCCAGTCTGAAGTCACTGTGCATGCAACTTAAGTCGCACTCGAGTCCGAGTCTCTAACTCGAGTCCCCGACTTTGTCACTCATGACCTCACATTCCAGCTGCTGTAGTGGATCTGCTTTATATTGATCAGATCTCCAAAAGTGGTGTGGGAAACGGGTTTGATTCCAACTGTGACACATCCACCAATGTGTCCCTGAGCAAGACGCTTAACTTCTGTTCAATTCGATTTTTATCTCGACAGTTATCTCAATGTGCTATTCATCTAGACCGTACTGTGTGATGATCTATACAGAGAACCAATGATTCCCACCAGAAGCAAGAACTGGGTGACAGAGGGAAGAAACCTCTAGCAGAACCATGACTCAAACCTAGTTCCCACTAAATTTTAGCCTGATTTCCCGCTCGTGACCGTCAGGCTGACTCAACATCCACATCCAGCCAATGAGAGCAGGCAACTACTTTCTACTCCCTGCAGCTCTCTGTAGCTCAGACGATCCCTGCTGCCTGCGTGTGCGAATCCATTCTTTCACCCAGATTCTTTCTTTATAACTGCTATCTTTATAATAACAGCTGTTTCCTGTGTAGGATCGCCTCATTTACCGTTTCACATTTCACATGTGTTTTCTTGACTAAACGTGGTTTGGAGAGCAGCGCTGGGTGACACAGCTGCTGTCAGCTCGTGTAGTGTGTGACTTCACACAGCACGGCCATCTGCCGACGCTGAAAGACGTGTAGTCTGCACGAGCCTTCAGGGTGGGTGGCCATCTGCCTCGAATGGTTGGGGAGGAGGGAGAGAGAGACGGAGAGTACACAGTGGCAGAGCGATCAGAAAGTGAGGAGGACATTAGCAGACTCTCTGACCACAACTTGGCTATAGACACTGGCTGACACAGACAGACCTGGCTGCCCAGAAAAGGCTGTGTCAACTCTGTCCAAAGACACAGGTGGAGACAGGCTGTGCTTCCAGCCTGAGATGAGGTTTTTATACAAATAAAGATCATTTCTTGTGCTCATGGCAGCCTGTTCTGACCACCCGTATGCCGGACTCACACAGGCGGTGTGTTACGACTGCGTCGCGGCTGCCAGAACTAATTGCAGCCATTGTAGTCAATGCTTTGCTCACACCAGAAGTGGCCCATAAGCGGCTCCTGACTCCTCTGCATGGAGAATAGGCATCTGGACAAGCAGCACAGAGCAAATGAACCGGGCAGGATTGCAGACAAAAGAGAGATCTGGTCGATTTTCAAAATAAACTACCTTGTGCAGACTCTTGATCGTTTATCAACGATAAAGAAATTTAAACGGACAAAAAAAAGAAACAATTTAACTATGTAGCCTTATTAACCATGGCAGAAGCACAAAAATCAAGGACAACTCACCAAATCAACTAAATCTAAACAATTCAGCAAAATCAGCCAGCCAACACGCTCTAATTCTGAAATGCTTCATGTGTGCTGTGGTCTGACGAGTCCACATTTTGTGGAAATTATGGACGTCGTGTCCTCCGGGCCAAAGAGGAAAAGCACCATCCGGATTGTTATCAGTGCAAAGTTCAAAAAACAGCATCTGTGATGGTCTGGGGGTGTGTTAGTGCCCATGGCAGGGGGAACTTGCACATCTGTGAAGGCACCATTAATGCTGAACGGTACATACAGGTTTTGGAGCAACATATGCTGCCATCCAAGCAACGTCTTTTTCAGGGACGTCCCTGTTTATTTCAGCAAGACAATGCCGAGCCACATTCTGCATGTGTTACAACAGCGTGGCTTCATAGTAAAAGAGTGTAGGTACTAGACTGGCCTGCCTGCAGTCCAGACCTGTCTCCCATTGAAAATGTGTGGCGCATTATGAAGCGCAAAATACGACAACTGCGACCCCGGACTGTTGAGCAACTGAAGTTGTACATCAAGCAACGTCCCAACTTCATTGGAATTGTATTATATTAATATACAAAAACATAAACATAGAAAGTGGCATGACAAGAAAATCCTCAAGTAAAGTATAAATAGGCTACCTCTAATTTGGACTTCATTACAGTAGGCCTACTTAAGTTACTGTCCACCACTGGAAATAACTGCAGATCCACTGCGGTGCATTATGGCTTCGCTGCGGTTGCTGGGGCTAATTGCGGCTGTTATAGTCAATGCTCGTGAGTCCACCAGCTGCGGCCGCAGCGCGGCCCTGAAGCGTCCCAGCAGCGGCTCTCCGCTCCGCAGAGAATAGGTAGCAAGGCTATTTTTGCCGCTAGCCTCGTCAAGCAGCACAGAGCAGATCGAACCAGGCAGGAAGTCAGACACAGAACGGCAGAGAGGATACGGTCAATTTTCAATAAAACACCCTGTGGAGACTCCGGATTGTAAAACAACAATAAACACAGTTACACCGGACACAAAGAAATCATTTAACTACATATCCTACTTAATCACAGTAGAAGCACAAAATGAAAACACTGGTTATCAGGCAAAACGCTCTGATTCTGAAATGCTCTCTGTGGGAAATGCAGCCTGAAGTTGACAGAATGAAAGTGGGTCACATAGAGCTGTGAAAAGGTAGTAGAAGCACGAAAAGGACAAATTAATAACAAGTCAATAACGTGGGGCAGGCTGCTCCGCTGCTGAAACACGCTTCCAGTGGACGGCGGGCTGAGGAAGCATCAAAACCGTGGCGCAGCTGTAACGTGCTGTAGCAGTGGATTCCCGGCGTAACACTTCAGAGCTGTCTGTACACAATAAAGCTTACCTCTGTAGCCAACAGCGGTTGTTCCCCACAAGCACTAACTGACAGTGGGCGGAAATATCAGTTGTCTCATTTGCCTGAACAGCGCCCTCTATTGGCCAGCTGCCACTGGCGCAGCCATAATGCAGCACACATGCTACCTGCGTGATTCCGGGGTTACCCTTCATGAATGAATGACTGAACGGTGTGGACATAACACTGCAGGGAAAACTCTAATAGACAACACATGCACATGGTTGCATGTGTGGGTGGATGATGGATGTGCAAGTAAAAGGTTTTGGGACAGTGTGGGTTTCTGCAAACTGTTTGACTTCGACAATCTAAAACTCTTGTCTTGCATTCATGAAAACATCAATATCAAAAGGTTACAAATGGAAAAGTTGTTTTAAGTAATGTGTATTAACAGTTATTATAATGATAGAACCTGTTGATAGGAACCCAGTGTTCACATCAGTATTGTTTAGGTGTTGTGGAGTAAAAGGCAGAAGAGCCATGCTGGAAGCTGGGACTGGATTAATTGTTAAGATCTTATTTTATATTTCTTATTGAACTTGAATTTTTTGGGCGAATTCGAATCCACCAAACAAACTCAGAAGCAGCTCTCACTCCTATTTTACTGCCTTTTCCAAACTCAGGAGCTTCGCTCTAGTTACAGCCCAGCTACTTGTCTCCCACCACAGGTGCAGAGAATTCCAATTCCAGCGGTGTCAGTGACCGCAGGTGTAACGTCTTTTCAGTGGCACGAGGACACTCGTATCTGCGGATATCTGATAGCGGTGAGTCCCAAACTGGCTGTGTCACCTTCACTGGGAACTATGAGCCCCGTTAAACAGACTGTTTTCAGGCAAAGACAAAAGGGTTTAAACCCAACAGTGAGGAAACATCGCAGAATGAACTTCTTCCAAATTCTCAATCACTCTAAAATTCTCTGGGATCCACGCTCCAAACCTAAGGGATTATTAGGGGGACATTTAAACAGCGGTAGTATCGTCTCAAAGAGTAATCAGCTGCAACATTTATTGACTCTAATCTGGATTTTCTCTGTATTTAGGAAACATGGCTAAATAAATTCTCTCATTAGATTACATAGATCTTAGCCATGTTTTTGGCACAGTATGTTTAAGCTCTGCATCACGTGCATATAATACAAACAAGAAACTGACATTACACTTCACAACATGTAACAATACCAACAACAACAATACTTCTGGGTATTTTTAATGTTCCTGAGAACGTGTTCAGGAGGGTCAGAGTCGAGGTTAAGAGGGGTATTATTAATTATGTTAAAGAGCCAATTAGATGCCGTCTGATTTAATGGAATGTATTAGATTGAATTGTCTGTCTGTATCGACCACCATCATCTAACAGTTTGTTTTATGAGCAGCTATACAAAATACTTAAAGAATGTGATGGTAAATAAAGAGTTTATATTAATGGGTGATTTCAACATAAATTGTGATGATAAATCAGATAGGAAAAAACTTGAGATAATAGACCAGTGCAGTCTTACTCAGTTGGTGCAAGGACCAACTAGAGTAACCAGTTCATCCCAGACACAGATTGATCTGATGTTCACAAACAGACCTGAAAGAATAATAAAATCCTTTATCTTGATAACTGGATTGTCGGATCATAATATTACACTATTGGTACTGAAACTCATTAGAAAGCGGTTTGAAAACACCATCAAAACAAAATAATACCACCAGGGGATTCCAAAAAAACGAGATGAACAACCTTGAAACTGCCTTAAAACAAATTAACTGGTCTAAGAGCTGCAAAACGTTTTTCACAACTACACTGCTCAAAAAAATAAAGGGAACACTGTTACGACCCAGTCCGTTAAGGTAAGGCAGTAACAAGTGATTTGGGATTGAAATGAAGGTGGTAAAGGACAACTGGAGTCCTGTTAAAAAGTCAAAGGTTTAATTAAAGGAGTTGACTCAAGAAATCCAACGAAGGTTAAAATCAAGGGCAACTGGACTTGGTTGAAGATACTGGAAGACGTTTCGTCCCTCATCCAAAGGACTTCTTCAGTTCTGACTGACTGGCAGGGAAACTCAGCTATTTAACCTCAGTGGGGTCGTTGGTTTGAACGACTGTAACGACTGTCGTCACAGCAACAAGGAACACTAACGAACCAGCGGTATCGATGACCCGGGCCAACGACTTTAACCTTCGTTGGATAACTATGACCTGGATGACTGAGAATCTTCATAGACATCTTGACTCAAGAAAACAACAACAAAAGGAGGCTATATAGGTGCTGACAACAAAAAGGTGAAACAAAAGAGGGTCTTGTCCAAAGACAGTTACTCTGCTCAAAAAACACTAAAGAACAAAAGGAAGTCAGCACCTAGATGCTTTACAATAGTGCAAAGTAAACAAACAAGCAATGCTCAAACAAAAGAGCGCCCGACGCTCGGTGCACTATCACACTGTGATTTACAAAGGGTCGAACTGACTGAAGCCACTTAGACAGGCAACAGACAGAGACAGGAAATACAAACACTCTAGATATTCACTAACTAACAGGGTACGCAACAGCAAGGCAAACAGATCACTGGCTCACAGTCGCAACGAGCTGTGGACACACAAACTATTTGTAGTCCAGCTGGTGTTGATTGGAGAGACCTGGTTGGCAGGTTCGGTCGAGTCACAACCACACCAATCACAGACGCCAGAGAACAGCACCCAGGAAGTAGGCGGTCCCAGCTCTAGAGAAACCAATCCTCGACAGGTACTCGCACAGCTGGGATTTGCATGACAGCCAGAAGCACTCAGGAGCACAACAATTACTTTAAGGCAGGCGGTGGCGGCACTTAAACAACACAATGTAACTCCAAGTCAATCACACTCCTGTGAGCACGCCCAGGCGTTGTAGGGAGGCCACACACACTACTGAGCCTCATTTTGACAAGGACATCACATCAAAGTTGGATCGGCCTGCAGTGTGGTTTTCCACTTTGAGTGTGACTCAAATCCAGACCTCCATGGGTTGATAAATTTCCATTGATAATTTTTTTGTGATTTTGTTGTCAGCACATTCAACTATGTAAAGAAAGGAGTATTTAATGAGATTATTTCATTCATTCAGATCTAGGATATGTTATTTTAGTGTTCCCTTTATTTTTTTGAGCAGTGTATTAAATAAGTAATGTCCTCCTTCACAAGGAAGGTGCAACACAAACTTAGACATAAAAAATACTTTACTATGGCTTAAAGAGGTGGTATTCTGCTCATTTTCAGGTTCAAAATCTTATTTAGAGGTTCTACCACAACAGGTTTAAATGGTTTCATTTTCTCATCCTGCACATTGCTGCAGCTCCTCTTTCACCCTGTGTGTTGTTCGCACTGCTCTTGAGCTACAGAGTGATGCATCTTACTTGTACAAAATCTTTGTTGGGAGTTGCACAGTTCCCAGGTAAGGACTACTAGCCAATCAGAAGCAGAGAAGGGCGGGTCGTAAGAAACATGGTAGTGTGATCCAAATCAAAGCTGCTTCAGACTGAGACCGTAACCTAGCAGATGGTATAAGTTATTCACAAGTCCACAACATTATTGTTCCACATCTGACCATCAGGACTAAACGTTGAACTGTTGCCGGTGTTCTGACGATCTATGCTGCCTTGCTGAAAAATGCTACCATAGCGCAAATCGATAGACTGGACTCTACTCGGCCCTGCTCCGTTTTCCATTGCAGATGGTACCCAGAGATAGTACGTAGCTTGTCGTCATAGCGACGCCACACACAACTGCCGTGACGTAATGTTCAATGCGACACACACACCAGCACAGCTTTCTCTTTTTTAAGTTAAAACGTTTGAACCTTCCTCAGAATGTAAAGACAGATAAGCGGTATGAAAAGCTTCCAGCTGTGTTTTCCTCTGCCGTTGTTGCTGCAGCGGGAGCAGAGGGCTCTGTGAGCGGGCGGCTGGCCGGCTTCACGCTCCTCCCGCGGGTCACAGCAGGCTTCAACCCGCCGCCACTTGCGGAGCTCCTCAATTCTGACAGTATTCAAGCACATTTTTGTTCCGCCATCACTTCTCGTAAAACTGTCAATATTGGAAATCTACACAGCTGATTTCACCTCAAAACTTCTCAGAAGTGGATTTAGTGATGAAATTACACACGGAAACTGTAAAATATAAAACTTTCTGTTGCCTCTGTCTGGTGCAATGATGATGCAGTGAATAGTGAATATTCTCTCTGACCAATCAGCAGTCTGTTGTGTTTTCACGTTACATTTTAGTTTCCCTCAGCTCGCTTGGAACCTCGACGGAGGTGATATGAAAAAAAGTACCTGGAAGCAGGAACAGGTACAACTTTTCTACAATGGAAAACCAACAAAGGCGAGTCGAGCCAAAGGGCCTCCGCTCAGACTAGCTTGGTTTGAGGGCGTGTCTGACCCCGCCAGCCAAGCTTTATGACGCCTTTTCATTGTGACGTCACAAGTAAAGGAAGTGAAGGGCTGGACTACAAACCAGCTGTTTTCAGTTCAGAGCAGAGTTTTCTGTGGGAGATGGGAACTCCCTTTGGGCTTTTTCACTTTGCAAACCTGTTACATGCACAAAAAAGAGAAATAATTCAATAAAGGAGAGGGGAAAAGCCAAAAAGCAGAATACCACCTCTTTAATAAAATACTGTCCTTCCTGTTACTTTGATGGAAGTCCCTCTGTCCATGTTTTAGAATGGTTCGCTGATGCAGTAAAGCTAAACATCAATACTCATGTGATGAACAGGCTAGTACATGGTAAACAGAGGAAGATTTTACACATGTTCAGGTGAACGTCATTCATTGTTTCTATGGTATAGGGGAATAAATCACTATAAACTGGAATCCATGCTATAAGAAATGAGAATTAGCACAAAATACAACATATTAAGTCATGAGGACTCAAATGGCACCGAATACTAGGAACAATCTCCATCCACACCAGCGTTTTAGCTGCGTATCACAACTGATATCTGTGTTTATTAAAACAGCTGAAAATGCCGTTCAGGTACTCTAGCCATGAAGGTGCCGGTGTAAACAGGAAACAGATTGACTACTTTGAAGTTGCAAAATATTTGGCGAAAGACAGAAGTGCTACCGCAGACGAACAACGAACAAACAGTTCGTCTGTTTTAAAACATTAATGTAGTAGTATGGACGTAGCCTTAACCAAACACAAACAATGATACAAATACTAACCGCACACTAATCGCTAACTAGCTTTGAGCGCCGAGTAGACTATAATAGACTTTGGCAAAGTAATGTGACACTCTTTCATTCTCAAGAATACTGGAATAAAGGTCTCTAAAGGTCCAGAGCCCCCACCAAATGCTTTCACTGGAGAGTGGGCGGACTAGGAACAAACTCCTGGGCCATGTGTTTGCCCCTGTCTGTGTCTCTATCTTGTGTCACTGCAAATACCCTCTTGAGCCATACTAATATGTACATTCTGTTATCAAAAGTCATTAGAAATGAGCTTTTAAGTAATAATTTATGGAATGCTAAAGCGGAAGTTAGCCATCCTTTCAGCAAATCTTGGCATGCCCTAACTGAACAAGTTATAAACTCTCTTATTAGGTTTAAAAGGGTTGCCAAAATTTGTAGTCCACCACTAACACCCTTCCATCAATCTTCGCCGGGCCAATGTGAAAGCCAGTTGATGGGAACAGCAGTGACAAAAGCAGCACACACATTGTTTCAATGAAAGCAAAAATACAAAATGTCGCTAGCGCCCCCTACGTAGCATCCCCCGGACAAAGTTTCACCGATGTGTACGAAATTTCTGTGGTAACATTCACCCACAGTCATAGCGCCACCTGCTGGCAACAGGAAGTGACCTTTAACGAAGCAGCCCCCGCCGCACGTTTCACCTACATGTATGAAATTTCTGTGGCACATGTATCATGTCCAGACCTCTCCTATCTATAAAGATTATGGGTAATATTAAGGGTTTCCCTGCCGTTATAAGGCTTAGGAGGTGAGGCCCAAAATATCTTGTGTGCTGTGCCATGAAGATAAAATCACTGTGGAGGGAGGATGGAAACTAAAACTAAAAAACCTTTCCAAAATCGTTTGGTTATAGTCCCTCCACAGACAAATACTTTAGCAAGTTTAGTCCTTATGCTTTCTGGTTGTTGTTTATTTATTATCTGCTCTAGCTTTTCCACCTATTTGTTCACAGATATGGTAAAAATAATGGTCCCAAATGATGTGAAATTGCATATTTGTCATTGGAAAAAGGTAAATCTTTTTGGGCGTTCATATCTCCGCCCACTTGCTACCTGAGTGGAGGTCTAATCAGCCAGGCGAGGTGAAAACACCTGTTCAGGTAATATCTGATCACCTGTCTCTCTCTGTCTCTCTCTGTCTCCACAGAGCCTTTCTGATCAGCTGAGCAGCGGCAGAGAGGAAAACCTGCAGACTGAAGTTTGATTTATAATCCAGCTACTTAACAGACTGAAGAGGAACTCTTCATAAAAATGGCCTCAAGGCAAAGAAGGAGCACAGAGCTGCCTCTTGAACTGTCTGAAATAATTGACAAACTTATCAAACATGCAGATTCATTCATCAAAGACTTTGACAACAGTGAACACAAGATGAGAGAGATTGTAGGAGAGATTCAGAAGATCACTGCTGAAGTAGAACAGATGCAGAAGGAAACGGATGCAGTCAGAACAACAGCAGTTGTTCCTGGAGGAGTTGGACTTGGACTTTTGATCCTTGCAGCTCTCTTCACTGGGGGGCTGAGCTTATTAGCAGGAGCAGCTGCCAGAGGACCAGCAGAAGCAGCAGTAGTAGTAGGATTAGCAGCATTAACAGCAGTAGCAGCAGTAGCAGTAGCAATAAGAGCAGCATTAGAAGGAGCAGGAGCAGCAGTAGCAGAAGGAGCAGCTGTAGGAGCAGGAGCAGCAGTAAGAGCAGCAGTAGCAGAAGGAGCAGCTGTAGGAGCAGCAGCAATGGCAGCAGCAGCAGTAGGAGCAGGAGCAGCAATGGTGGCAGCAGCAGTAGGAGCCGGAGCAGCAGCAGCAGTAGGAGCCGGAGCAGCAGCAGCAGTAGGAGCTGGAGCAGCAGCAGCAGTAGGAGCTGGAGCAGCAATGGCAGCAGCAGCAGTAGGAGCAGAAGCAGCAGCAGGAGCAGAAGCAGCAGGAGCAGCAGCAATAGGAGCAGGAACAGCAGCAGCAGTAGGAGCAGGAGCAGCAGCCACAGCTGGATTAGGAGCAGCAGCAGCAGCAGGAGCAGTAGGAGCAGCAGTAGCAGCAGCAGTAGGAGCAGGAGCAGCAGTAGCAGCAATAGGAGGAGCAGTTGCTGCTAGTGTAAACACATCAAATATAAAAATACAGATAGAAAGTGCAAAGGAAATTGAAAAGCTGGGGAAAGAATTCCTGAGGATTGTTGAACCGCTGAAGATCGACCTTGGAAAAATACCAACTATGTGTGAACAGTTGGAGGAAGAATCAGCTGCAGTTCAGGTTGAGAACGCTCTGTCAGACATAGAGGAGTTTCAGAGGATCCTCAGACGAGTGAATGAACTGGCAGAATTGAGTAAAGATGTTTTGCATGTAGGGACAGTGTGGTTCAATAACTTGTTATTGATATTTATGATAATCTTCAGACTCACTGCTACCCTAAAGAGGATGGAAAGTTCAGATACTCCATCATCCAGTCAGCTCATCAGAGTCGGAAGGTCTTTGTAGAGTTTTATAAGATTAAGATGACACTCAGACTTTATTTTCTGATACCTGATACTGGTATTCCTTTGAAGTGAGTAAAACATTTACTCAGATGAATCCATCCGTGTCATTTACACTTGGGACGCTGGGGTCATGTCCCCACCACTTTTTGAAATGGCTGCTTTTTAAAAGCATTTGCTAAAAGTTTTCTGAAAATTAGCTTGCAACAAGAAATGTTAGGCTAAATAACAAATACAAATTCTATGAGAACTATTTGCACAATAGAAAAGCATGAAATGTAAATAAATAATAAACGGATCTACATTGTCCAAAAAAAGTAACTTAGGCTAATAAAACAAGCTGCGGATTACTGCATTATATTCAATAACAATTTTATATAAAGTGATTTGCCACCAGCCACATGCATTTTGTTTCCCTTGATATAAATAAAACATTTCCACCATAAATTGGTGCTTAAAATGTCTCCAGAATGTAGGAAATCAAGAGTTTAATGCTCAAAATCTCCTGGGGGAGGAACCCCAGACCCTCCATACAAATAGCAGATTTCCTCAATTAATATTTCTTCAAAATAGCATTGGAGTATCTTGTTGTCGAAAGTGTTTGGTCACACCACTAATATAAGTCCTTAAATGTCTGCACCACTTTTCAACACAAAGTGACACCCTTGGATTAATCACAGGAACAAATCCATTAATCCATTATCTTCCACTTCTGGTTGTGGTGGCAGATCCTCATGGAGGATCCCAAGGCGTGCTAGTTCTCGGTCTACCAGATACCAGAACAGCTCAGCTAGCTCCGTTCAAGACAAAGGAGCAGCGGCTCTACTCCAAGCTCCATTTGAATGTCTGAGCTCCTCACCTTGTCTCTAAGGCTGAGCCCAGACACCCTACAGAAAACACACTATTTTTCTGAACTCCCTATCTACTGGTTGTGTCCCTGATTATTTTAAAACTGCCTGTATGAACCCACTTTTAAAGAAACCTGGTTTAGATCCCTCCCTCCATCAAAATTTTAGAACCATTTCAAAACTACCTTAGAAAGAATTGTGTCCAAACAGCTGCTCACTGTACTGGAAAATAACAAATTATTTGAAAAGTTTCAGTCTGGTTTCAGGAAGTACCACAGCACTGAGACTGCCCTGCTTAAAGTCACCAGTGACCTTTTAATGTCTGCTGATGATGGCATGTGCTCAGTCCTGGTACTCCTGGACCTTAGCGCTGCTTTTGACACCATTGATCACAACATCATGTTAGACAGACTGAGGCACTGGGTGGGGATCTCTGGTACTGCCCTAGAATGGTTTTCATCCTACCTGTCAAATAGGAAGTTTTGCGTGTCTGTAAACAACTATGTCTCTTTGTTCTGTCCAGTTAAATATGGTGTGCCTCAGGGGTCGGTCTTAGGACCCATTTTGTTTTCATTGTATCTGCTTCCCCTTGGACATATTATCCATAAACATGGCATTCTTTTCATATTTATGCTGATGACACACAAATATACTTGCCCGTCAGATCCACAGACCCTGGAATGCTGAGTTCACTTAACAACTGCCTTTGTGAAGTTAAAACATGGATGTCAAAAATTTCGTCCAGCTGAACTCAGACAAAACAGAAATCCTGGTCATCGGGTCCCAGCAGATGGTAAATCAAATCAAATACTGCCATCTGCTGGTTCCCTAGTAAATCACATTAAACCTGTGGCAAAGAACCTTGGTGTTTGGTTTGATAGTAATTTAAATTTCGAGCAGCACACCACAAAGCTTGTTCAATCATGTTTTTATCAACTTAGAAATATAGCAAAAATTCCATCTATGTTAACTTTTAAGGACACCGAGACCATTTTACACGCCTTCGTCTCATCACGCCTGAATTATTGCAACAGCCTTTTCACCTGTTTAAAAAACACAAAAATCTACTGATCAACTCCAGACTGTCCAGAACTCAGCTGCCAGGCTTTTAACCAGAACAAAGAAATATGACCACATTACTCCTATTTTAGCTTCATTACACTGGCTCCCAGTATGTTTTAGAATTGACTTAAAAAACTTCATGGCCTCTCGCCTTGTTATATTTCTGACCTTTTAGTCCCATACGCACCAGCGCGTACCTTGAGATCCTCGGGCAGAGGTCTGTTGTCTGTTCCAGAGTCTCGACTGAAAACTAAAGGGGACAGAGCGTTTGCTGTCAGGGCCCCGAGGCTCTGGAACAGCCTGCCCGAGGAAATCAGGTCGGCTGAGTCAGTGAACTCTTTTAAGTCCCTTCTTAAAACATACTTTTACAGGAGAGCCTTTCCCGATCTTATTTGACTTTATTTATCCCTTTTATTTTATTCTATTTTACTTTTTTATATTTATCTTAAACGTGTATTTTAGTCTTTTCAATGTTTTCTTTCTTTTATCTTGTATTGTTTCTGTATTATTGTCTTTACACTTGTTAAAGCACTTTGTAACTTGTTTTTGAAAAGTGCTCTACAAATAAAGATTATTATTATTATCATTAATACAGAGGAAACAGATTTCAGCTGCTTGTATCTGCGATCTTCAGTCCCTACGCACAGGTCATGACCACAGGTGTGGGTTGGAACATGGGTAGACTGGTACTCTCTCTTCCCTACAACGATCCGGTTCAACACCTGCATTATTGCTGACGCTACAACAATCCACCATTAAATCTTACGCTTCATTTCTGTTTTAATAATTGTCCTGGTAATGTGGTCACATATTGGGAGATGAAGATGGATACTGATTGACTGTTGTTCTGGACACAGAAGGCTCTTATTATCTATTATTTTATTGAATCTTTATGGGTATAATGATACCAATCAAATTAGTATTTTCCTGTTAGATATTTATTGTAATGCCTTAGTTGTTTTTCACTAAAATAATTCTTACAGTACAAACTTGATTTTATTGGGGGACACTTTAATATGGCACCTGATGATTGGCTTGACAGGAGTTTACCAGTCACCATGATAACCCAGTGTAAACTGCTTTTTGGAATATCCATTCACTTGTTGATGTCTGGAGAATCAAGAACCAGAATGTTCTTCATTTTTAAAATAATAAATGAATAAATGAAATGAATGCTGTAAGAGGACACCAATGTCAGAGGAAGATATGGCTATTTTCATAAACCCTCAATCTAAATTGGATGAGTTGTATCTGATGGAGCTTTTACAGTATAAGGTTGAGAGCCAAGTGGATAGAAGATGTTGCTAAAGCAGATGATACACGGGGCAACTTTTAGAGCAATTGTGCAGGGCAACGTTGCCGTCAATGGTAATGAGTAAAGATTACCACCATAATCCCCTTTCCCCACCACTCCACCACCCGCCCCGCACTGCCGCTATCTGTTCAAAAAATAGTCGGGCTTGCCAATAGCAAGACTGCCCAGCAACATTGCTCAAAAAGTTGCCCCATGTATCATCTGCTTTAGCAATAGGTAGCTGTGCTAACAGCTGCGGTAACATTGAGCATAGCTAAAAACAGGCTGATACACACTTTTTTTGCATGTTTTGCATGTTAAAGCTTCCACGTTGACATCATTATTGTCTCTGATGAGGACTGGACCCCAGAGCCAAGCACAGACTGGGACAGGACCGGGGTCGAGGTGAGAAAGAGGAGGGAGGGATGCCAGGGTCCGCAGTACAAGCAGCACATATTCTAGGACCTGCGTCGAGCTTCACACTCCAACAACGGCATATGAACAGGTATATATATATATATATATATGTATATTATAATATTAGTATATTATTTCCCAGTGTACTTGTCTCAAATTGTCTCTGGTGTTTCCTCCTAAGTCCTTGTGATGGCAATTCGAGTGTTCAAATAAACAGCTCAGGCAAACACTTGTTTTATTCAAGTCTTCTGCAGAAGGACTCACAGCAACACACATACGCCGTGTACATGTGTGCTCGAATGAGTGAGGAGAGCTGAGTGAGCCTGTTATTTATCCAGCTTTAGGGTCAATCTTATCATCCCACAGAGACACATTGTCCCTGAAGTCTGGATACCACAGGGAACAGAGATATTTGGACTGTTACGTTTAAACAGATTCAGAGCCACATCACAGATGAGTCTCCCTGAGTCCAGGGTTACATGCAATATGTTTAGAATTCCCATTACATTACTCCCTTTTAGCATTTTATGCTAACCAAACATAAGAATACAAACATTTTATTAACCTTAGCAGTACTTGCAGAATAGGTGA